GTGTTTTGTGAAGGTGCTTCCTGTCCTTGTACATGCTACTCTAAAAATGCCCTTCACTGCAGCTTTAAAAAAAAAAAAAGCACACCCTTGTTTTACAAGTAACAGCAAAGGCAATGCTATTTGATACCAAATTTGGCTAGACCTTATCTTGAAGTTACTTGAATACTGTTTTGTTGTCTTGTTTTTCCAATAGATGTCAAAGCTCAGAACAGAATTCAAATTTCTGATTGTATTACAAATGTTCTGATCAAATGGTAGTAAGTTCTAACTTAGAAAAAAAGGTGTTTGTGATGTTTCTGCATTTTCCAACTTGACTTTTTTCAGGTTGGCTTTCCTCCTTTGCTAAGTATTGTAAGCAGAATGAATCAGGTAAGCCTACATCTTAAGCCTACCTCTTAGGACAGCATAGTGATACTGCTGAAGTTAGTACTTCCTATGTTCCATCAGTTGCATAAATCTTACCTATTTTTCTGTGCTAAGGTGATTGTTTATTCCAACTGCTATTCAGTGTACACTTACAAGGAAAAAGTATTATCTCACCTTTAACTACAGTTATACCAGCAAATGTTTACAGTAACTAAATGTAAGCATATTTTCTCCTCATCATTTCTTTATAGAACATTCTAATGATTGAGTGCCTCTTTTAGGGGCTTCCAGTAATTTATCACCTTTTGTCTTTTAAGTGCAGTTCTTCAACTTGATTGTAAACTCTTAAATGCATTGCAATACTAGAAGAACAACGTTTACTGCATTTCTCACTGGTCATTCTTATATAGAAATAGTATGATGCCTTTTTTTGTTATCTATCTCTAACATCTTGTTAACACAGAATGTTGCTTTATATAAAGCTCTTAGTTTTTTAAAAAGCTTTTTTTCCATGATGCTTTAACATGTACTTTACCCTTACATACAATCTCAACCTGAACTAAATGCCATATAGAATTGCAGTTGAGTGAAAACTTATTACGTCTATATTTAAAGACAAAAATCACATTTGCTTTTTACCTAACGTAATGCTTTGGGTAGAAGGACAGCAAAACAAAACTTTGCAGATATGGCATCGTGTCTTTATGTTTCTCTTTTGAAGGCCACAGTAACCAGTGTCTTAGAATACCTGATCAGCTGGTTTGGAGAGAAAAAATTTACTCCAGAACTGGTAATTTTTTTCTAACTACTCGCATGTGAGCACCTGTTTTCTATGAAATTGTTTTAGTTTCCAACTAGTTCTCTAGATATGTGTACTGTATTCAGTTGTTCTCAAAACTCACCTGAGTAGATGCTAGATTGAACATACACAGAACTTTTTGAAAGAGTAATTACAAAAGAGCAGACAGAGATCTTTCAGGTACTGCTAAAACTCCTCCATTTGATTTGCTCTCCACAATAACTTAATCTGCAAGGTCGAAGGGTGCTGGGGAGAAAAGAGGGCCAGAGTACAGAAGCTTTGAAGTCAGTGAGCTGCAGGCTGTATTTGCTAACATGTCTGCTTTAGTTTGGAGATGGTATTCTGCTAAAAGAGATCATTTAATCTCTTCATGTGCAGCACTATGTTATCTATGTTAGTGTGGAAACAGATCCAATCTGATATAAAATTGAGAGTGATGGAGTACATTAGCATGAAGTTTGGCCACAACTAGATTAACTAGCTGTATACCACAAAATTAATGAATAATGAAAAATTCCACAATACTAAATACAGCTTCTTGATTTTTGAGTTGCTTAAAGGCCTTTTCTGTTCTGAGCTTTTCTTAGTGACCAATATGCTGCAGAGCATGTGCACATTCTTAGTTTAATCCTATCATGAAAGGCACTAGGCACTGGAATTAATTTAATAAGTTAAACTGGTAGCAAAGTGATGTTTATAATATTGTGAGTGATGTTTGTAATACTGAATAATGTTCAGTAAGTAAAAAGCAGAGGACATGTTTTTGCAGTGGGGTAAATCCTAAGGCTGATGTAACAGCATTGCTTCCACAAAGATCTGACTTAATATATTCATTCTTTAGAATGTTTTTCCATGGTTTATGAAGTTAACAAATAATAGCTATGTAATTATTGCTCAAATAGTGCTTCCCTTAGATTAATAGAAGAAACTGTTCAAAAAAAAAAAAAAAAAAAAAAAAAAACCCAAGCAGGCAATCCAGGAGCATGCTCACAAGAAGCTTATTTACAGGCATAAAATTCTACTATGCAGTCTCTAATCTGGCCCTTCAAACTTTACCTTTCTGTCAATGGCACTTAAATGAAATTTTGCTTTGAGACCTGTGCCCAAGGCCTACTACATATAACATGTTTTTCTTTTTTCAAAGAAGTGCCCATAATTAAAAACTCACTATTTCAATCCACACAGGGTAGATGGTTTTATGCACTGTTGGCATGCCTTGAAAAACCTTTGCTACCTGAAGCTCACTCCCTTATTCGACAGTTGGCAAGGCGGTGCTCAGAAGTGAGAGTACTAGAGGTAAGACTTAATTTAATGTTGTGCAAAGGACTGTTTCAACTTCATAAATTATCAAGAGAATGATTTCTCAGCTCTTAAATTCTTGATAAGTTATTTTTCACATTTGAAGTCTGCTGGAGAATGAGAGGAAGACTGCAACATATAACATGGGAGGTAACTTTTTTCTAGTGGATATGGTTAACAGAAGAACTGTTCTGGTATTCGTTTCTCTTCCAGGAGAACAAGAACGAAGAGCAAGTTTCAGCTCTGAATCTCTTAATCTGCTTAGTTAGCAGGTAATGCAAACCACAAATATAAAATAGCAGAGTATGTCCAGAATAAGTGTGATTATCCTTATGCTAACATAGATTCCTTTAAAGTGAAAGTCAATCCAAGTAGTCTGGATGTATGTAGCAGACATACTTAGTTACCAGGACCAGACAAACCTAAGGCTAAAACAAAGAAAACACATTAGTTTTCTTTGGTGAGCTCCCTCAAACATGAGGGGGCTCACCAAATACATGGTGTCATATTATTATATATGTCATATATATGGTGTCATAATGTCATATTCTATAAATATGATAGAAATACTAAATTAAACCTGGAAAGCAAATGGTCTAACAACTCAGAGCAAAGTAAGGAATGTGTTGCATTAGTTTTCTTACTGTATTCCACTTCTCTCCCCTAGGTACTTTGATCAACGTGATTTAGCTGATGAACCCTCCTAGACTTTTCTGAGAAAACCATTTTCTGTTGCAAAGCACAGAGTAGTACAAATAGTACAAACAGTGTGCAGGTCTGAAGCGTGCAGTGTCTTTCTGTCAAGTACAATACAACTTCTTCAGAGCACCCTCAACATAATAATACATTTGGGACAGCTATGAATAACAGAAGCTGATCTTTAGCATGAAGGTACTGCTCTCCAGTATCCTCATCGTAAAATGGTCCATGAATTATCTGTCATTGTCTCTCAAGCAATATCTTAGTATAACAGATTCTTCATTACAAATTTTTGCCATCCGAGTAATCCTGTGGATGCTGTCATTAGGTTCCGAGTTTAAAGAGATGTCACAGATGACTGTTCTTTATCTAATACACATCCCTTGAGGTCTTTTTTAATAAAACTAAAATGTTCTTTAAGCTGTTCTTAAACATTGTGGCTTTTCTCATTCTTCATAGTACTTAAGGACTGCTTTACTTCAGAAGCCTACACAATTGGGATCCAATGTGTTTTTTCAGGAAACAGTTACTGAGCTTAAATACTGCTCAACAATACAACTTATAGCCAGTGAATTACTGAAAAAATTATGTTACCAAAACATAAAAGGAGGTAGTGCATAGATTTCCTGAGTAATAATATTTGCTACTTTATATAAACAGTGGCAGAAACCAGGGTTAAAGGCACAGCTGTATTCAGTACTCTTTAACAGAAGCACTTAGTAAACAAAATGGACAAATTTATTTTCTGTGTAATATCTTGACAAATACGTTAGCTCACCTGTTTAACACACTGAACAGGGAATTCTTTGCCAAGAATACTGGTGTCTGCTTCGTACATACATGATTCTATTGGGTTTTAATTATCTTCAGCAATTGAAAATCCAGTCTAAAGGAACTCTGATTTCTGCAGGTAACAGTAGACTGATAGACAGTATTGAATTTCACACTGTGCAGGAAGCAGATGTCAATCCCTCGCTGTTTAAAAAAGACATATCATTAAGCACGAGTTAATGGTTAAGCCCATAGCATAACTTAAGATTATTACCACTTTCTTATGTGGAATGGTAACTTTAACTGTCAAGTGAAAATGAAAGAAACGACGACAGTTTTAATTTTAGAGAAGCAAATTACAAAATGCCCTTCCAAGTTGTGTGGGTGTCACTGAAGTGTCCATCTGTCAGGCACAGTGCAAGTCAGTCCCTTTAATAACAGCATTTAAAAACAGCACGAGTTGGCAACTGAAGCGCCCACAAAAGGCACTCAGGAAGAACAGTAATCAGCTAATCCTCTCACAATTTCAGAGAAGCATGAATCGTACAGGTGGACAACCACCACAACCTTCCTGTAAACTACCAGTGTAAGTGCTCAGTGTTTTCAGTCACACAGCTGATCCCTACAGAACACCAACCACCGTGGTTACTTTTATCTCCTCTAGGTCTCTAAACAGCGCCGTGGCATTCTGCTAATGCTTTAGATCTTTCCTAGAACTGTCAAATTATGCAGTTACAACTAATCTGAGCTAGTGTTCACAGTACCTGAACACATCTTAAGCTCATATAATAAGCCCCTGGTTATCATGGTGTATAGGAACTGCTGAGTCACGGCCTGAACGTCTGACTGATCACCTGAGGCGAGCCATGAGTCAGCCAGAGGAGCACAGGTGAAGGCAATTCACCTGTGCTGCCGGAAGGGGTGGAGCCAGACTCCACCTCTCCTAGACCTATTTAAGAGCTGGCTACCAGTGGGGAAGGATCTCTTCTGGAGATCCCTTCTTCTGGTGTTTTTTTTTTTTAGGTGAGCCTAGCATATGGGTAAGCCTTCCATTTATTCTCTCCTATTATCTTAGTCTACTTTGCCTAACTCTCTTGTTCTTTTTGTGATTATAACATCTTAATATCCATTGATTATACACATGCCTGTAATCTACAGCTTGCCAGCACAGATTTATAGACTACAAACGACAACTATCCATTGCAAGCTTTAGAACTTCCTTAGAGCTTACGGAGGAACAACTTCCAGTGTTCCTGCCCAACCATGCACTTGGACAACAAACATTTATTCCAACACAGAAGATGGTTAAAACAGACAAAAGTGTTGTTCTAGTGCATTATTTTTTATATCTTGCCAGTTGTTTGCTGGTCTCAAAGTAGAAACTGAGTTGCAATCGCAGGACATTCTCACATTTCTGGAAGTGTAAGACTTGACCCTGCCAACAGAAAAGTCCGATGGTAAAATTTGTTACAAGTTTAAACAAGATGTTTTCATGCTTACCTACAGCAAGATACCTATTGTTACACAAATGTCGTAACAAGTAGTATCCAGCAACCCCCAGTCTCCTCTAGGGTCTTGCTGATGTCTTTATAGCTTTTTGCTGGCCTAATCATCTTCCTGCACAAACTCATTACAGAAGTGAGTTGTAGCTAGCAATTTAAAAAAAAAAAAAAAAAAAAAAAAAAAAAAGTACGTTAATACTGAATTTATGCACAATAAACTAAAGCAAATTGCCTTTGCTGGTTGTAGATGTCCTTAGCTGTACAATTCTTCTGATGCAAAAAAACAAAACAAAAAACCAACCATTAATTTTAGAGGCATAGGATATACCTTTAAAATAAGTTATCTTTATCTGCTCATATCATTTCTATATTCCAATGAATGCTGTTAATTAAGACTGCTGATTTATGCAATAATTGTTTCCTCAGAATAATAGAAAGTTGCTGCCTCATTTCTTAGGTGACACAAAACACATTTGTTTCTTATACCAACTGAGTCTTCACTGTGACTCTATTCTTAAAATCTGCCTGTTGTTTGATTTAGTACAATAAATCTTTTGTTGGAAACTTTTGAGAGGACAGTTTTTACCATGATGGACATCAATACCTTGGTACAGAACTAATTTCATACCGAGATACAACAGCAGTGTTACTTTAACAAACATTTATTATATGCTTTGGAATTGTGCTGTGCAGTGCTATAATTTACACGCTATATACAAAGCCAAACCAAAATGCCAGAACCACAGACAGAGGATTTTTAAGGTAGATACCCAGATTTGAACATGCTCTACATTTTCTGTATCATCACCTGGAATTTACCTGCAAAGAGAATGCAAAGTCAGATCAAAGCATGAACTTTAGATCTATTACTCCAAGTAGTTAACTTCCTTTTTAAGATATTTTTTGTTAAGACATTTCTAAGGAATGTTTCAATCTTATGGTTTAATTGTGAGATATCTAGCCATGATTTAAATTTAGCATTTAAACCTAATTCCAACTGAACACATTCACTTTTTTTTTAGTTGATCCATGCCCCACATTACAGCAGTTTTCTTGTTCAAAGCTCATGGAAATCTTTAGCTGCATATTAATCATCTTATGTAGTTACAGTGGAGTTCACTTACTACCTTTTTTACTGACTTCTATAAATAAAGAGCACATAAATAGTTGTTTTTATCTTCAGTTATTGCAGTGGAGTTCTGGATGTACACCCTTTTGCATCCGATGCCTCCAAATGGAAATATAAGTTTTTAATGTAGCTTTACTTTAATGCCATGGAGGTTCACTGTCAGTATTTTTTAAAGCACAGTGAAGTTGGTGACTAAAGTTATCAAGTGAGCTAATAGAGGAGTACTCTTGAGAAGTACTTACATGCGGGCATTGATGAAACTTCAGCTGTTACAATACTCTTTATTCCCAAATTCGATAGGCCCCCTCTGATTAGTCCACAGGTAAATGCTAAATACTAAACATAAGGTTACATTTTAAAGAAGTTTCAAGGGTGAAGCCTGTTGCAAAACATTGAAGAACTGAAGACTTATCACTTTGCCAATATAAAACTACAGAGGTTTTGTTATTGTTCGTCAGTGTACTGTGACAATGGCAGAAGTTTCTTCCTGAACTGCACACAAAATACATCAGCTCAATGATTTTCCACTTGCAGTCAGTACAGCTCCCACCATCAAATCCCACCATGTTTCAAAATCACTGACTGTTTCTCGAAACACAGACCAAATAAACTGTACTCAAACAAGGTGCATTTCTAAAAAACAGTTTTTGGAGATTTAAATTTTAGCTTCCCTTTTTGGTGGGTTTGTGTCCATTCAACTACAGAATTTCATGTTATTATTAATAGACCAAGATGATTCCAATCAAGTTCATAGATCCCAAGAAGGGTACCTTTGGTGCATGTTCTAAATACTGCTTTCCTGCAGACATTTGTGTCAAGAGTCGGAATTTGTTGTCTTGAAGAACATAAATACCCTGTTTAAAAAAAAAAAAAGTTTTTAATTGAGTTTCTAATGAGATGTGATCAGAATTCTACCAAGCAATGTCATCAACAAGCAAGCTTTAGGAAGTTTTTCAGCTGTTTTGTATAGAACTATGTTCAGTAGGGTGCAATTAAGTGTCTTGACTGCTGAAAACTGTAAATCTTTTTCCAAATTAAAAAATGACTTCAAGACAGCCATTCTATTTAAATGAGTTTTAAGGCAGCAATGTAATTTCTCACACTAGTTTTCTACTAAAATATATTGTGAGATTCATGAAAAAGTTCCTGTGTGAGTCTTAATAAACTGTAAGCATTACTGTCCTGTCAGTTTGTAATCCCACAACACTGTATGAAATTGAAAACATTTAGTCTTTTCAAACAGGGTGGCAAGAAATACATCATAAGCAATTACTAAATGGTACTCTCAAAATCTGCGCCAACACAGACTTTTAAAAACTGCTTTAAAAAAAAAAAAAAGAACAGTCTGGGTTTCTTCCCAGGTAATATATCCTAGACCAAGACAAACAAAAAAATCCACCTATAACACAAGATAGTTTTACTGATTTTGTAACTTAAATCGTATTCTAGAGCATTAGTACCTGATGATTAGTCCTTAGGTTGTCTATTTGCTTTTTGAATACAGTTGTCCAAAAATCTTTGCAAATGAACTTCATAATATCTAATTCATCCTTGAACCTGGCTGTATCTTTTGTAAACCTAAAAGACAAGTGAGAGAAACATGTCAGTCACGAATGTACGTGCAACAACTGGACTGATTAAGCAGAAAAATACAAAACAATTTTAAAAAAATGGTACTATACAACATTACTTTTGAGAACACTACAGAGATTAATGTTCCAGCTATCATGCTAGCAACACTCAGCTTTCACCATGTATTGTAACTCGAGTAACATAGTTTTATCTTAATATTTGCAGCACTATGGTAAGAATAAATGAGTTTGAACTATATGATCATCAAAGACAGCTGAAGTACATAAAGATATCTTAACATAAAGCTCTCACATATAGTAGTGTTTGGAAGGGGCTCCTTCAAATATTGAAAATACCAAATATAAATACAAAATGGCCAAAAAACGAAAGGCCAAACATTAACGCATAGGAACAAACACACAAAACTTGTCATCTGAAAAGTGACTTCCTTCTTCACAGTTCTCCCCCTGTATTCTCCCTGATGGTCTTTGAGTCACTTTGATCAACTCTTGTCTCAGGTAACAGTGATTCAGGATGAGAGGTGACGGCCTTAAGTTATGCCAGGGGAGGTTCAGGCTGGATATTAGGAAAAACAACTAGTCTAATAGTGGTAGTGCATCGGAACTGGCTGTCCAGGAAGGTGGCAGAATCAGCATCCCTGGAGGTGTTCAAGAACCGTGTGGATGTGGCACTAAGGGGCACGGTTAGAGGGCCGATGGTTGGACTGGATGCTCTTAGTGGTCCTTTCCAACTTTAACGATTCTATGAAAACGTGACGTTGGGAGCTCGGGATTCTCCACACAACCCGAGACTGCGCAGCGAGGCACCGGGAGACGGAAGATCCAAGGGCTGAGAGGCCCTTGGAAGGGGAAATCTCACGGTACAATTACAAAATAATTACAAAACTACCCTTCACACCCACCTCTCGATCAGCCCCTGCCCGACTCGAAAGCCCATGCTCTCCAGCTTGGTGGTGCAGCGGCCGTTCTCCTGCAAGACACAAGGGCAGCCGCCGCCTCAGCCTCGGGCCCGGCCGCCGCCGGACGGCCTCGGGGGCGGCACCGGCTGCACTCACCCCTTCGCCCTGCTCGGCGGCTCGGTACAGCCCCGCCACCATCTCGTTGTGCAGCAGCAGGAACAGCGCCTCGTCCGCCATGTCCGCTCCGCTGCGGGCGTCCCCGTCCCCCCGCCGTCACGGCAAAGGCAACGGCCCGCCGCCGGGAGCTGCTGCACCGCCCCTTCCGGGAGCGGGAGGGCTGCGGGCGGCAACGCCGGGGCTGGGCAAGGCGGAGCGGAGAGCTGAGCAGGGTGCGAAACCAGCTCGTCCCGGGGCGTGTAGGAGAGAGGAAAGACCGCTTTTGTGTTTGTTTGTTTGTTTTTCCAAACGTCACTTTCTATTCATCCTCCATTTCCTGCCTCTGTAAGATGGCAACCGGCGGGGCGCGGGATGCAGCCGGAGGCGCCCCAGCAAAAACGGCACCCGTGTTCCGTTAGGGCAGCGTCCCGGCGGGCAGAGGGGGAAGAACTATAGCCCAAAGCCCGCGACGCCGATCCGACACCGCTCCGCGTGAGAACCCGTTACAGTAGCTCACGTTGTGCCGCGCGGGAGAGTACTACGCGGCAGCCCGCAGTAACGCTCCGCCTAATTGGCTCGTTCGGCACAGAGGCTGTGGGAGCGTGAAGGTGATTGGCTCCCACCACAGGAAAGTGACGAAGTAACTTTTCGTTAGCTAACACAGACGTCGCTCTGGCTCTCCCGCTTTATGATTCGCAGAGCTGGCAAGCGGCCGCTCTCGGTAATTGGTTAAGAAGGATGTCAGTCCGCCTCTGAGCTTCGTGATTGGCGGATGAGTGCGGAGAGCCTTTCCAGGAGGGCGTACCCTTTCGCTTCAAGCCCGCCTATTGGCAGTCGGCGGCGTCCGCCGAGGGGCTATTGGCTGCGCCGTCCCGTCCCTCGCGGAGCCGAGTGGCGGCTGTCGGGCGGAGCCTCTCCCGCCGTTACCCAGCGGTGCCTTGCGCTGGGCCCCGGCTAGGCCGCGCGGCGGGCGGTATGGCGGTGGCAGTGCGTGCGCTGCAAGAGCAGCTGGAGAAGGCCAAGGAGAGCCTTAAGCACGTGGATGAGAATATCCGCAAGCTCACGGGCCGGGACCCCAACGATGTGAGGTAAGGGGCGGCTTAGCGGGGTCGTCTCGAGGAGGCCTCCCCCGCATCTCCGGCGCGGCCCCGGGCCGGTTGGCGGCGTCCCCGCGGGGGTGGGGGGGCAGCGATGGCTGCGGGCCCCGCGCCTGAGGCAGCGCCGCGGGAACGCTGCGAGGGGCCCGGGCGGTGCCGCTGAGCGTTGTGCTGTCTTCCGCAGGCCCCCTCAGAACAGACTGCTGGCCCTCTCAGGCCCTGGTGGAGGTAGGGGGCGAGGGAGCTTACTGCTGAGGTAAGGATCCGCGGCTCTCCTTTTCTCTCGTGGCGCCGGGTTGCTGTCTTTGCGTGTTCTGCGTTCTTGATTTGATCCCTGTGCTCGCTGTAAGGGATCGGAAGCTGCTGCTGTAACAACGCGGTCGAGTGGGAGGCCTGCAAGGGCAGCCGGGGTTCGATAGCCTGCGGTGCCTGGTTTGATACCGGTGGCTTTCCTTAGCGCTTCCAGCCGTTACCCTTAAAGTGAAGGAGGACCTTCAGAATGAAGGGAGGTGCTCTCTGCTGAGGTGGGCCTCCTTGCTTTGAAGTGGTGCAAAATCACTGTCTTGGTGGTTAAGAAACTGGTAGTATTTCTGGGGAGAATAGAAAAAAGAATGGAACTCTCCAAAATTCCCAAAACTCATGTAGGTGACTTCTTTTGGGAATTTACCATCTCTACCCTCTTTTATTTTCTTATCTCTGTGGTAGAGCCAGAATCAAGAACAGACTTGTACTCAGTAATTTCATCTTATCGAATATGTAGTACATTCCTTTTCTTTTGTTAAATTTCAACACCAAATTGTTGCTGAGGCCTTAACACTTTAAAAACTAATGCAAAAAACTTTTTGAACCTACTGAGGTAGCTCATTTGAGGGTAGCAGCTCATCTGCGTAAGTTTAAATGGGTTGATTCACATACAGTGCATTTAAATACTTTATTCCTGTAGTAACAGTCAAATGATTACAGAATTGAGTAAAATGTATGCCTTGCTCTGAGATCACAAGTGGTTTCCTTTTAGGCGTGGATTCTCGGATAGCGGAGGAGGACCCCCAGCCAAACAGAGGGATCTTGAAGGGGCATCCAGTAGGTGGGTGGAAAAATGCATGTAGAGACCTTGCTTTCTCAGAATGAGAATTTGTAACAGTATATTCTAAATACTTAGATGCAATAATTTAGTAAATGATGACCTTCTATGTCTTCTTCAGAAATTTATTCGTGACTTGTGAGAAAGTTTTTGGAGCTGACTGTGTTGGAATCTCTTTTCTAAATCCTATAGTATTTTAAAGATTATTAGAGTAATATGAAGACTACAGCAATAATATAAAGATAAAATCAGTACTAAGACTCTTGCACAGTGGAGACACTTAAACGTATAATTCTTTCTCTGCTGGATTCAAGGGCTTATGTGGCCTCTGGAATCACTGTGGAGAGAACTGTATAGAGAATTAAATAACTTTGTGTATTTACGATGGATAGAAAACTCAAAGGTGTTGAAATCTCACACGCACTATAATGAAGAGCACTTCTCATTTTTGTACTTGCTCCAGTGCAGTGGAGGGGTATTTCTTGTTCCTTGTCCATTCTGCAGGCAACTCCTCCTTTAAATTTCTGGGCGTTTTTGTTGCAGGCTGTAGTGAGTTGATCAGTTTTCTGAATATAGTTACAGTGTTAGATGCCAAATTGTAAAATCTTGATTTAAAAACTTACACTAAGTAAAGCAGGAAATTCATTGCAGTTTGCTGTGTTAAATTTTGCATATTAGCTCGGACTTGTTTAACAATAGACACAAATTGTGACTAGGATTTCCCTTTCATTAAGTTTAATGCCTACTGTGTGACAGTATATACAGAGATTTCAGGCTTTCACAATTGGATGCAGATCCATCAGATGTGGCTTTGGTTGTAGTGAGCTGCATTTTCTGAGCGCTTACATGCAGTGCTAAATCTTGACAAAAGCAACACTTGCTTTTTAATTTTTGAGTTCTACAAAATGCATACTGGAAAATGGCTGTACTGATAGTAAACTGCTATACCACAAAGCTGAGATCAAAAGCTGAAAATAACTTTCATTTAATAAATTGCCTAGCTTTCTTTGTTGAAAAACCTGAGGTTATCCAAGGGCTCAGGTCCCAGCTAAATGCTTTGTCTGTCCTTAACTGTTTTCTAGGTATTTGCCTAGATAACCTCAGTAGCATTTTGAATTTGAGAAAACCGTACTGCCCTCTGTGTCTTGATGCATTTAAATCTAACTCATATTTCTCTTACATAAATAAACATTTTAGGCATTCTGGAAAAAGAAAAGCCCAAACAGGAAACAAAATCCGTAACTGCTCTAGAAAGTCAAATAGGGCAGTAACATGGGTTCTTCATTTTTACTTTACTACTGAAATATCATTGAAATTTAAATCACTTTTTCTCACGTGGTATTAAAAATCTTTTTGAACAGTATTTTTTTAGGCAGTGCTGTGAAAGCACTATTTATCTCTTCTCACTGTTCTGATTAACAGTTTTAGTGGAATTGTTGGTTCTGCTGACTATATATGCTGACATATACAGATGCAGTTGTTAACAAATGTTCTCCAGTGGCCAGTAATGCTTTTTACTCCTCAGGCTGGGTGGAGAGCGTCGGACGAGAAGAGAATCACGCCAAGAAAGTGATGGAGAGGATGATGATATTAAAAAGGTAATGCACGACAAAGGGAGCTGTGTAGGAAGAAGGAAAGCATTTAGGTGAACTAAGAAGTTTGTATTTTTCTGTTGTAGCCAGCATTACCATCTTCTGTTGTTGCTACCTCCAAAGAGCGAACACGTCGAGACCTTATACAAGATCAAAATATGGATGAGAAAGGAAAACAAAGGTAGGCAGCAGTCTCTTCATGCATTTATGTGATGCTTCAGAGTCCTAGCTTAGGAAGTAACTTTAGTTTTTAAAAGGTGTTATACAGATGCTGTTATGTATCAAAGATGGTTTTGAAGATGCACCAGAATAGAGTAGATTGTAGATTTGGTTTAGGTAAATATTCTCTCAAAATATTTACAGTGGTAACAACAAATCATTCATGTAACACAGCTGAAAGAGATTCTGCTTCTCAAGCCATCTACAACAATAAGATTGTTATTGTAACAGGTCCTCTTTAAGTAGGACAACTTAATTGGTTACTTAACATTTTGGACTGTTAAAACAGGAAATAAACCCAGAATGTGAACACAGGGACATCCATTCTGCCCTGCTTTGTGATATAGAAGATTGTGTCAATGTATCTTGGAAGTAACCTGTTGTGTACCTTTATAGCTAGTAAGTATACATCTTGAAAGAGCAGTTGCCAAAGACAGTACAGGTGATTCTTACTACTCCCACTTACTTTGTTGGCTGAAAAAAGGTTTTAAGCGTGTAGTTTTCTTTTTTTGCAGAGTAGCTCCTTCATGGTTTTTTTTTTTTAAATTCTTACTATACTTTTAGGCTAGTTGTGCATATAATTTGACATTCCTTTTGCCTCTTTAAATTCTTAGTGTTTATATCTCCTTTTTCTTCTTGTGCATGTGTGTGTGTTTTAAAGTAGCTCACTAAAGTTCTTGTTAAGATGCACTTATTTTTGAGAAGAGCTGTTGGAAAAGCAGCTTTGCAGCAGTATCCAACTTCTTGGACTCTCCAGTCAGCAGCCTATCTGGTGTCATAATCACTTATGCCTCAAGTAGAATCAGAGCTGAAATAGTGAACTATTTTGCACTTCTTTGATGAGGAACAGAGATCAATAGAACAAAAAGACACTTTGCTTGGTCGTCTTTTGCTGCTTCTAATGCTGCTGTTGCTTCCATCATTAGTTCCTGACTTTTTCCCTACAGAAGGAATGGTGGTGGACTTTTATAGGGCTTTTGGCACAAAAGGTTTGTCTGTTTGCAATTGTAGTTTTAGCATTTTGCATTTGAGTTGTGTTCTGGGGAGGTGAGAAACAGTGTTGATCTTCATCTGACTCATTGGAAAGAGGCCTTCAGGGAGACAGCATCCATTCAGCTCTGGCTTTGCTCAGGGTTTTCTGGGTTGCCATTTGTATACAGATACTCTTGGTCAGGTAATCTCTAGCTTTCAGCTCTTCACCTATTGCTATTTTTGCTGTTGCATGAACAGGTAGTTTTATCTCTGCGTGCCAGGTTATTGCCACTGGAATAGAGCCTTGGAGTCCTGAGTGAGAATGTAGTCTTCTTTCTTCTCATTAGGTGAAAGTTCAAGGCAAGTAAGAAAGTCAGCTTCTTGTTATAAAGGCTTAATTTTGCATTAAATGGGAAGAAAGAGAAGGTGAAATTCAGGAAGCTGGTTCATAAGAAGGGAATTCCTTGAGGAATTTTGTTTACGTAAATTTCTCCAAGTGCCCTTAATTAAATAAGAATTCTGGTGTGCAGTGTCTTATATAATAAGATATTGTTAGTTAGATCATTGGCAGATAGTCTTTCACTCCTCTGTGGCTGTATTACTGCTTAATCCCCCCAGTGGCACAGGGATGTTCTTCAGACAACTTAACAGCCTTCCAATTCAGTGCCTTTTTGAAATCTCACTCTGTGTTTACTCAGTCTTTTCTTCCATGGCCTCCTTTTGTTTTCTTTTTTTATATTAGTGTTGTTATTTTCTGATGTGCAGAGCTAATTTTCCCAATGCTAACTGTGCTGTGTTACAGATAGGTGCTGTGTCTTACCCTTAAGCAAAACATGATATCATGGTGTAAGTTATATCCTCAACTGCTGGCAGTCGGTTTGTTTTCTATTGCTAGTGGCCTTGTGTAGTACTGAGCCTTTAAAAATAACCATCTCTGAGGTGGAAAAGTTTCTCTGACTGTTTATACAAATAAAAATCTTGGTGCTTGAACTGAATCTCAAACTTCTTTTTGTTTTTACTCAGGAATCGACGTATATTTGGCTTGTTGATGGGCACTCTTCAAAAATTTAAGCAGGAGTCCACAGTTGCTACTGAGAGGGTACTTATTTTTAGTTCTATAAGTCTTTCAGTTGTAAATAATAAAACCAAATTGTCTGATTAAACTGCTTTAAATAGCAATGAACATTTCCATGCTGTGACTTACAGATGTCGCAAATTGGTAATAGTACAAATGGGTTTTTGTTTGCTTTGATTTACTTGCATTGGGGGTGGGGAAGCAGGAAAGAGACTGCAGTGATTTTATGACCCTGCAATGCTTTTTGACCATTGTGGAAGTGGTAAGGCAATGATCTGTTAAGAATTTCAGTTCATCTTCAAAAGATATAAAATTCAAAATAGATTCTCTTTTCTTATCGGTGCTTCTTAGGGCATTTCAAAATTCCTGAAATTTGAGTAGAATGATACAGGAACATACAGCTTTGTCATGCCTTCTGCTTAAATACAAGTGGCAGTTTGCTCTATAGTAGAGAAAATGAGCATTCCTAGTTTTAGTGAACAAGTGTGTGACTGTGCTGCATTGCAAATTTTGTAGCTTAGTGGTAACTTCAATATTTTGGATCTAGGTTGGTGGTAATTGGTTTTTTTGCATGCTCTTTTGAATAGTGGATGCTGTAGCGCCTCTTACTGTTGTCCTAGGTGGGTTATTCAATTAAGAATAATATTTACTTGTAGATTACAAACAGCGTTTAAATGTTCGTGGAGATTGTATTTCCAGCAGTCTAGAAGCAGATACAAATTCCTTAAATTAATAACCACTTCTGTGTGGTTTTAGCATACCTAGGTTGCAGTGTTGATACTGATTACTTTGCAACTCAGGATTTAGATATCCTAATGTTTTATCTAAATAGTACTGGGCAAAAAGTTCTCTGCCTTCTTGCCTTCAGAGTAGGAAACGATTACAAGAGATGGTCTGGCGGTATGTTTGCGTAAGAAAGACTGAGAGGTTCCTATTCATTGCAACATATTTCTGAGAATATGCTGCTATTTCATATATAAAATCTTACTTGAAGTCAAGGTATAAACCTAAGGAGTTAGGACACAGATATTTTTTGTCCAAGCACTAAACTATATGTGTGTGTGTGTGTATATATATATATTCTTAAACAACTATTTTGCAATCTGAGCGTATGGCAATATAAGGATATGCAAATAGGGCACTCTTGGGTTACAGTGACATACCTAATTAATGGTGGCAATACTCCAGAGTATCTGTGATATGATTTGTTTTGTTGTTTACAAACTTCAGCCTGTCTCCCTTCATTTGCTTGTGGAGAAAGTGTTGTTTTCTCTTCTGGCTGAAGTGCCTGAAATGTGTTGCTTTTTGTCTTCTGTTGCTTTTTTTCCCTGCCGTTTGGAAAAAAGTGTTAGAGCTTGTGTTGAAAATTCAAATCCAAACTGAATGATAGAAAAGCAGTTAAAAAGCCATAGGGGTGCATAGTTATATAGTTAATCCTCCAAAAATTGTGTGCCAGCAAGGACTGGCACTGTTTTCTTCCATTACCTGTAATTTAGTAGATTAAGTAGATAAAGATTATTTGTCCTTTGGAAATGCCTTTTACAATATAAATAATTTTAGTTGTACCAAAGCAGGATACTTTCTTGATTTAGAAAAAAAAAAAATTAAAATGAATATTTCTTTATCTTAGCAAAAGAGACGACAAGAAATTGAACAAAAACTTGAAGTACAAGCAGAGGAAGAAAGAAAACAAGTTGAAAATGAAAGACGTGAGCTGTTTGAAGAAAGGCGTGCTAAACAAACGGAGCTGCGGTTACTGGAGCAAAAAGTAGAGCTTGCTCAGTTGGTAAGCTTTAGTTTTGCTCTCAGATCTTTCTGTCACAAAAAACACACTCTTCTATATCTTAGGGGATATTTTTGTTTTCAATTCTCAGCAAGAAGAATGGAATGAACATAATGCAAAAATAATTAAATATATAAGAACAAAGACAAAACCTCACTTATTCTACATACCTGGCAGAATGTGTCCTGCTACACAAAAGTTGATGGAAGAATCACAGAAAAAAATGAATGGTAAGTGTTGTTTGTGATACATGACTGCTTTTGTTCTTGCCTCCCCTTGGTGTCTGTTCTACAAATTTAAGTCTTTCTGCTTAGATACAGTAATTTCATGGTTAGAGCAAACTGCTCTTGCATGGGTGTTCATCAAAAGTAAAAACGTTAGTCCTTCAGTGATTTTAGTTTTGTGCTTTAATTCTCTTACAAGAGGTGTATATGTGAGCTTGGAAGAACCTTTTTAAAATGTTCTTTAAATTTAGTACCCAGATGTACGCTGAGGCAGCAGCTTCATTTTCAGAAAGGCCCATTCTACAGTTTGGGAACAGAAGAAAACGCAGGGTTTTCTTGTCCATTTCACTTTAGGAGTTGTGAAACTCTTCCTTAAAGCATAGCACTAGAACTTTGACTTTTTATTTCCTTGCGTGTTCCTGTATCTGTTTCACAGGATGATTATGTTTTCCTTTTGGAAAACAATTCAGAATACTGCAGGTGATGGTAGTCCTGCTGTTCATTTGATTAAATTGAATTTATCCTTTCCTTAAGGAAGTTTTCTTCATTACCTGGGGTGGGGAATAATGGAAGCTGAATTAACTGTCTGAATAGCTTATATTATTAAAACTTTTTTTTAATATCTGATCTGCTTTCCACTGATTTTTAGTGTCCTTTGTTTGCCTTATGTATAAATACAGCTATTATTCCTGAATACCAAGGAATTTAAGTACAGTTTTGATATATTCATTTTAGTGAAGTCAAAAGTACTCCTAGTTTAGATCTAGGATTTTGTTGTTTTGACACTCAGCAGAGCTGTTTATCCTACTTATTTTAAATTAACCTGCGATCCATTTCATTATGCATGAATGGCTCACTATTTCAGAATGAATAAGGATGAAGTTCTTAAACATTTTGATCACTTACTAGCTTATAATTAAGGAGAAAATAATCTTCAGTTTCTGTAGTTACCTGTCTGAAACTGTTGTTGGTGCATTTTATTCCCTAGCAATTTTTGAAAGCAGGCGCAATGAATTTGCAGAGCAGATTAACAAAATGGAGGCCAGGCCCAGAAGACAATCTATGAAGGAAAGAGAGCAGCAGGAGGTGCAGAATGAAGAAAAGAAGGAAGAACAGAACAAGGAGCAGGAAGAGGGTAAGGTGGTTCAGCAGGTGGAAGAGTTGGAGACAGGTAATCAGCACAATGATGTAGAAATGGAGGAGGTAGGGGAGGAAAAGGGAAAAATAGGTTCAGGGCATAGTGATGCAGAGAAAGAACAGGAAGAGGAAGAACAGAAACATGAAATAGAGATTAAAATAGAAGAGGCTGCTGAGGTGAGGGACAATGACAAGCAACAGGATGGTCAGCACGAAGAGGTCACAGTTGTAAAAGAGGAAAATGAAAATATTCAGCCAGTGGATAATGAGCAGGATATGGCTGAAATGAATGAGGCAGATAGTGTAGAACCTGTAGATAATGAGAATGGCAAAGAAGTAGAACCAGAAATGGAATGTGAAGCTCAGCCAGAAAAAGTGTGTGATATTCCTTCTCCTGAAAAGGAGAAAATTATCAAAACAGAAACTGAAGCTGAAGCTGAAGAAAAACAGGAGCAGGCATCTGAAGCTCAGCCAGAACCCATGGCTGAGGCCTTATCTCAGCCGCAGTCTGTGCCACCACCACAGTCACCTCAGTTATCTCAGTCTGTTCAGGATACAGAGCTCCAGACAGACAAAGATGAAAATGCTGTGGTGTCTGTAAAGGTCGAGGCACAGGCAGAGCAGAATCAGACACTGAGTGCAGAAATGAAAAATAAGACTAGAAGTAGAAGCAGGGGTAGGGCAGGGAACAAAGCTGCTAAGAGCCATAGTCGCAGCAGCAGCAGCAGTAGTAGCAGTAGTACTTCAAGCAGCACTAGTAGTGGAAGTAGTTCCAGCACTGGCAGCACTAGCAGTCGGAGTAGTTCCAGCAGCAGCAGCACGAGTGGAAGTACCAGCAGGGACAGTAGCAGCAGTAGCTCTACCAGTAGTGAAAGTAGAAGTCGGAGCAGAGGAAGAGGTCATAACAGAAACAGAAAACGCAGGAGGAGTGCAGAAAGGAAGCGAAGGGATGCTTCAGGAGTAGATAGAAGTCACAAGTCCTCGAAAGGTGGGAGTAGAGATGCAAAAAGTTCAAAGGATAAAAGTTCAAGATCTGACCGAAAGAGATCTATATCAGAGAGTAGTCGGTCAGGCAGGAGAACTTCACGGAGTGAAAGAGACCGTAAATCAGACAGGAAAGACAAAAGGCGTTAACAGAAGAGACCAAGCTTCCTTAGTCTAATCTTTGCAGCAGAAGATTATTTGAGCGAAAGGATTCCGTGTAAGGAGGAGGAGAAGGCTGCCTTAAGAATTGCATGCTGTAAAAAATCTTTTGGAAAAATGCAGACTGTTTACCAGGCATTCTTGTACTTTTTACATAATTTTGTAAAAGGTTACCTACCAAAATTATGTGAAGTTCCTGAAAATGTAAAAATAAAAAATTAACACTCCTTTGCATCTCTTTTTTTTTTTTTTTTTTTTTTAATATTCTGTATTCATTAAGATCCTCTGTATATTTTAATAGGCAAATCTATAAGTTGGTGTGATCACTTTTTCTGTATCATAAGCTTTTTTTGTAGAAATAAATGTGCGTTTTAAATAAATTGAGATGTCTTGTTGACACTTAAATTCCCCTTTTAGATCAGATGTAAGGAGGCAATATTGCAGGAAACGTAAAATTTTGCTTTTCCCCTCTATTTCTTGCAATAATGGGAAACTTAAGGCTCTCCAATCCCTCCAGTGCTAGATGGGAAGGAAAAGTAATTGCTTTGAATCTATGTTTTTTTGTTTTCTTCTGTAATCACAAATTCTTAGTCAGTTCTATATTCCAGTTCTATGAAACTTTTTCCTACCTGTAGGCAAGCAGTGATTAAATGTGAACACTTAAAGCTGACCAAGATAGCTCAAGTCAGTCTGGAATACTGCTCTCACCTGCTTTCTGCAGGTACTTTGGTAGTGTACATTTTATGTTTTGAGGTAGTTGATATGTTTAGTAATGCTCCTTGCTTTGATGGACAGTGGCAGAAAGACTTCAGCTCGCTTCTCAACCAAGAGTATGTTTTAGTTGCAGTCCTATCTTTGATCCCTTCATACCACTAGGAATAATTACATTGCAGTGTTGGAGTTACTCGGGTCTACCTAATACTGACATTGTGTGCGTGCAAGACTGTTTCCTGAATGTATTTAATACAACACAAAGTGGTATGTTATTATGGAGAGGAATTCTGTTTTATATAATTTTGTATGAAGAACAATAACATCTGTTGCTGTGTTCTGTACATGTGCAAATAAATGTTGCTTTGTAGACTACTCTCAATGCCTATGTCTGTTTCTGTAAGACAAGTGTACTGCCTTTGTATGCTGTATGGGAACTGCTGGGTCGCGGCCTGAACCTCTGATGGATCACCTGAGGTGAGCAATGAGTCAGGCACAGGAGCACAGGTGAAGGCAATTCACCTGTGTTGCTGGAAGGGGTGGAGCCTGGCTGCATCCCTCTTAGACCTATTTAAGAGCTGACTGCCAGTGGGGAAGGATCTCGTCTGGAGATCGGCTCTGCTGGAGTTTGTGAGTGAGCCCAGGATAGGGGTACGCTTTCTATCCATTCTCTTTTATTATCATTATCTGCTTTGCCTAACTCTCTTGTTTATTTTGTGATTATAACATCCTAATATTCATTGATTATACATATGCATAAAACATATATCGTAACTGCAGGTGACTGTACCTTAGTTTTGTATGTGAAATAATTCTTACAGGTTTTAATTCATGCCTGATAACTGAATGTGAAACACTGCTATAGTTTGGATTGTTTGGGTGGGAAGAGAATTCATCTTGTGCAGAACCACAGCTTGGGGAGACCTGGAGAGATTTCCAAATGGAAACAAGCAATAAGTTAATTTTAATTCATCAAATACTACACATACGCTTTCCTGGAACATGATGTGCATAGTGGTAGTTGGGAGGGTGTTACTTTTTAAACACTTCTGTACTCTAAGTAGAGAGAGAGTTCTGAATCACTGATCCTTATTGCTTACAGAAACATGTCTAGCAAGGGATGAAGTTGGGATTTCTTCCAGTATGGATTTAAATGCTGGGAAAGCTCCTCAGGTTTCTTCTCTCAATGAGTTCTGCATGTTATTCGGATTCTTGATCCATTCATTACCTCAGTATCCCATCTTCTCAGCTGCTCTACAAACAAGGTTCCTTTTTACCTCTCAGAAGTCTTCTGCCATACCTTCAGAGGAAAGTGATCAGTGTGGTTTTCTGGGTGTGGGTTTGGATTTTTTTGTTTGTTTGTTTTTGAGCCAAAATGTTCAAACGTCTTAAGGTATTAAACAGTATTTTACCACTAGGAACACATTTTTATAATGAGTAGTTGAATGCGTGTTATTGCCTTGCATGTTTCTAAAGACAATTTGAAATGAGGAGTTAGCAAAAGCCGTTTCAATTTTCTTGGTTTTCTTGTTGAGGTGTATAACATGAAGTATTTTGAAGGTTTGTCTTTTTAAGCTGGAGAGATCCAGTGTTGAGTAATACATTTTGTAGGTTCATTGAGAGGGTTTTAATAGCTAATGCTGTAGTTACACAAAGCTGTAGAAGAAGGCTGCTTCTTAAAAGCTATATTAACAGCATGTATAATAAGCAGGGAGTCCTGGTATGTAAAGTAGGGAACAGGTTGAGCACATTATGATTTTGTGTTTCAGGTTACTATTCACAGGATCACAGAATTGTAGGGGTTGGAAGGGACCTCCAGAGATCATCGAGTCCAACCCCCCTGCCAAAGCAAGTTCCCTACAGCAGGTCGCAATTATTTAATATTTAAATTTAATATTTAAGCAATATATTCTTGAGAAGGTGAGAATACAGGTATTTTGTTGTTCTTACGAAGCAGGAGATGTGCTTGATAGTTCAATGCTCCTTTCAAGAAACAACTGCCACTACTTAACGGTGCTGGAATTGATTTTGCTAAGCCTAAGCAGCTCAGTGAGACATATGTATCAAAATGTTGGTATCTGATACATTTCTGAGAATGAAGTTTTCTAAGAGCTAGATATTCCAACCAATATTCTACTGGTGTAGTATAATATAACAGTATGCTATTAGCACAGTGCTGCAGAAAGACTCGTGGTGGTGGTGTTTTTGTTTTTTTTTAGTTTTTACGTTTTATTTTCAGTAATTCAGTTACATTTCAAAGTTCTACCCTCTCACACAGGAATGTTTTTACAATAGTAGATAAAACTGTGTATTCTCTTAGCGTGAGATGATTTCAGAGATATGGATAAGACTGAGATCATGAGTGAAATTTCCTTCTCCTCTTCCAAGACTACTATTTCAAATAGTGGAAACTGAATATATATTTCAGTATGCCATAAATATTTAAAGACAGAATTTGGTGAAACAGTTTTGGGGTTCTGGGAATTAAGTGCAGATAATATGTGACTAGAATGTCATTAAAATGTTTTGTTTCCTTTCCCTGTAGTGATGAGTAGAGATGAAAAAATACTCTGACCTCACTTCACTCAAGTAATGTAGGAAAATGAGTGATCAAGAAGAGCAAAAACTAATAAAGTTGAGATACTTTATATGAGTGGTCAATAAACCACATGTAGTGCTTGCATGAAGTGGCATGCCCTGCGTTTAAATAGGAATTTAGAATATATATACAGAGGTGGTTTTTTACAGTGCTTTTATACTATGTGCACTGTCTCTATACCATTTATGTGCCTCCATTTTCTTCAGTCTTGATGGAGAGAGAAGCTGGAAGTCTCCAGGAATGTGTTGTTTTCCAGGATGTTCTACTCCAAGTCATTGTCAGAGCAGGTGGATTGTTTGTGAACACTAAGCTGAAATATGACCTTGCATAGAATGTAAGCTTCTTCAAATCTGTGTTTCTTCACTTGACTGGATTTCTTTGTTCTTGGAACGATTTCATTTTAAGTATTCAAAAGAAACTTGAAAGTATTTTTTTTCTGAAGAGGTATTAGCTTAAAAAAAAAAAAAAAAAAAGCTCTACTCAAATTAATTTCCGAGGCCAGTAAATATGCAAATGGATTTTTCCATCACCATTTGTTCATAAGGAAAGTAAAATTCTTGAGGTTAAACCCCGAGTATGATTCCAAGATCCAGAAGTGTTGCTTCTCTTCCTTTCATTTATTAGATTTTTAAAAATACTTGTTTGAAACAAAGGTATATATTTTTTGCATGAAACATAATTCAGTATAAAACTTGATCTGCACTTTTATACTAACATCCTAAATCAAGAGAACTATGTTTTAATATTCTTCCACTTATTTGTGCAATCTTCTACCCAGTAAAACCTTACATTCTGTACAGAACCTTTCGATGCTATCATAAAAATATAATCAAAGCTGTACAGTGTTATCAAGTTTTTTATGTACTTATATATGTTATGTATTTGTAGTTCAGTAATTAGTTAATAAAATAAAATTCCCAGAGATTTAATAATATTTTTAACAATAGCTTCATCCTTACAAAAGCTGTTGGAAATGGAATTTAATTTTAATTTTTTGTTAGCGTTGTTTGTCTTTGCATGGATGATAGTACTTACATTTGTTGCTTCAGTTCTGCAGAAGGGTGCCTAGCTTTTACTTGCCAAACAAACAAAGTGAAGTGTCGCTCAATCTGATGTGAAGTTTTCAACTTTGTCCTTTGGAAGCCAGCTATAATAAACTCCATGAACATTTATCTTTGAATTAAGTTCAAAGGTGATTAGAAGCCATGTTCATAAATCCCACACCTACAAGTGTGGGATTTACATCCTGAAGAAAATAATATCTGATATGTATTTTGTTATTGAAGTTATGTTAAACATGTAACACATAACAAAGATCAGAGCACTGCTAAACAGCCTTTTAACAGCTTAAAACCTAGAAGAGTGATTGTTGAGACTAAGCTACACAATAAGCATTGCCCACAGTAACTCGAAAACTGTAGATGTAGATTAAATGGAACGGCTACGATGGGCTGCAACAATTTCAGTATCTCCATATAAAGACCTGAGAATCCACATGAAAAGTCAGAGCTGTTTTGGTATCTTTTAACAAATACAGTTATAATGTGTAGATTTCAAGGTGTGGGTGTCTTAGTTTCCTCTCTAGTGCAAACTTGCTGACCTATGTAATTTTGAGTGCCAGAGTATTTGGCTTTTTCATTTTTAGGTGAACCACTTACATCTTTTCAGGGTCAAAAAGAGACTGCTAGTCTTTCTAAACCCATAGTTTGTGTTTGTCTTATGTTCCATGGCTGGTAAGCAACATTCTGACTCTTCTGATCAGCTTTTAATCTTGCCAGTATAAAAATTCTGTCCTTCTGATTTTGTACAGTGTTTTATATTGGGGTTCTACCTAATATCAATGTTTTCTGTAGTTCTTCCCTCTCACCAATACACATTTCTTTGTCTACTCTTTCTCATCAGTCTATCCTAATCTGT